ACCTTATACTCACTTCTTCTGTAGGTGAAGTATCACGAATGATTCGCGCAAACATACAGATGTCGGGAGTAAATGACGACTGCTATGTTCATTATTGCATCCAACAACAAAATACCTCAACCGCTTAGGAGACATTCTTGTTTACTCCTGCTCCAGTGTCGAAACAATGGCGGACTGATGACAGCTCACTCAGGGCGGGTCTATGTTGAAACGCCAGTATCAGTCAACAATCATGGGAGGGGCCTTGGCCTGTGTGATGTCACACAGCAAAGAATCTGAGATCGGGGTTATTTATGGGGATTTAAAGGGATCATATGATGCGATTTCAAGTTTTCCTTTCTCTTTGGAGTGTTACAAGCTGTTCGTGAATAGATAAGATCCCTAAAGTTGCAAAGACTAAAGTCTCAAACCCAAAGAGATATTCTTTATAAAAGACTCGTCCACGCCCTCCTAAAACGCTTCGTTTAAAAACGCCCCCACATGTCTACGTCACTGTGTGGAAAGATTTGCATAACACCGCCCAAATGTATGCGCAAAAAAAGAAGGCGTAACTTTTATTCTCGCTGTAGTATTGTTGCCACTGCCGCTATGTCATGGAGACGCTGTGTGTTTCATTGTGAAAGCGATGACCCTATACAGTCTATGATGCTGAGAAATAATGTTGACTGATATTTAAAGGATTTGCCACTGACGATTCAAACGCGAGTTTTGAGCAGTGTAGAGTAGCGCTTGTTGTTTGTCGTTTCTCCGATCACAAATGCAGACATGGTTTTATGTTCACGCGGCGCGCTGCAGCGCAACACGTAAAAAGACAGTATAAGTCATTATAATCAGTAATTATGTCCCCACTGGATGCAACAAATGCCTCGTTTATAATGGGTTTTATTGGTTTTGTCTCGTCGCGCCGGGACACGGCATCACAGTATGGTAAGGGGCGTAACATTTCCGTCACACGCTTGAGGAATTCGGCCAATCACAACGCACTAGATAGCTGGCCAATCAGAGCACACCTCGCTTTTCAGAACGATGAGCTTTGTAAAAATCGATGCGTTTCAGAAAGGCGGGGCATAGAGGAGAAACAATAATGTACAGTATGTGGAAAGTGCTTTTTGAACCTTAAACCACATAAATGCATCTCATTACACCAAATACACAAAATAATGTTCTTTTTTAGCAACATCATATGTTTATCATTATAGGGTGGTTGTGTACAAACACTGCCAACACACATTTATGTTCAAACAACATGTAAAGGTGAATTTTGCATCCAATGACCCCTTTAAGAAGCCGTCTTAATTACATATGTGGCAAAAGCTGACATGAATATGTGATAGTGTCTCGTCTTCATACTTGACTAGTGTTCATTTCACTTTTTTGCTGTAGGCACACATTGCAAACATGGCGCAGTTTATGGCACATGTGGACCTGGCTGCACTAAAACCTGCAATAACTGGAACGAAATCAGACCTTGTCAAAGGCCCTGTGTCGCTGGCTGCCACTGTCCGGCCAGCCTGGTCCTGTTTGAGGGCCACTGCATTAAACCTACATCCTGCCCCGGGCGATGACCCACAGGACTCGTATAGAAGCAGAGGGCTGCGAGAGATCCAAACACACAGAGGGAAAGAGAACTGGGCACGCAATTTTGCAAACAGGACTGTACAATACTCAAGATACTGAGAGACACACTCCTTCCCTCAGCAGGGAGACTCACCACTAGGTCCCTTTGGCTTCTCTGTGGGGACTCAGGATCTCACTGCTCGCTGTATGTGGATTTCTCATAGGTGGTGAAAACCAAATCCCAAGTGCCTTACTGAATGAGCTCAGAGTTACCAATGCTTTAATCATAAAAAAGGACCTGAACTGGACATTATGTGTGGGGTATATGGCATACAATAGTATTATCCATTTGTTGGGTCAGCCAGTATTTAATTCACAACTGCTTGACTGAAAGGGAAACTATTTATGTATCTGTTCTTTATTTTGTAAGTCGGGGACTCAAATGTGACTGTTATAGCATTAAAGAGAAGTGTACTGTATTCGTCCAGCCAAGTGTTCATACACTGATGTGTGTATGTGTTATTATAAATGTACATTTTACTTGACCCATTAAGATACTATATACGACCAGTATAAATCTTATATACTTTTAAAGAAAAACGTGCTTATTTCTGAAAAAGTTTTGTCATCAGGAAGTGCAGTGACGTTTGTGCATACAACTCAGGTTCAGCAATGTCTTGTGGAGATTCAGGACTGGGATATAGAATGACTTTGCAGCGATGGCAGAGGAGCCCAAGAACTAGAGCAAAAAGAAAAAAAAATCATATTACGTGAAATGGTGGCAAGAATTTGGCTGGTTACATAATCTACTTGTAGGGACTGTAAACTGATAAAACTTTTACATTACTAACCTGAGTGTTAAGTGTGTTGAGTGTTCAAGTCCTGTAGTTCAGTTGTGAACTCGTGATCATAAAGTGTTATTGTTTGAGCTGCATTAAATCTGACTAAACACACGGGCACAGCCCTAAAAGAAAACAACATTCTTTCCACAACTCTGAAATTCCAATAAATGCCAGCAGATATTAAATCAACATCTGACTGATCTGTCAATAAGCTTAAAATGTGCTGTGGTTAGACCTTCCAGCAGGAAAGGCTGTCTATGCATACTGAGCTCCTTCTTCTGTCATTATACTATATACATATACTAATGCAATCTGTAATTTTCACTCATTGAAGATATCATAATTTATTATAGTATATTAAAGATCCCATTAAAGGCACAATATGTAAGATTTTGTTTTTTAAATATCCAAAAACCACTAGAACATTTTTATATATTTTGCTGACCTGTGTACTTACATTATCCCAGATGT